ACGAAACGTGGAAACGTTAGAACCCGCCAACCTGTTTTTTTCCCAACCATCCTGTGGTGTTGGGTCCTCGTTTTGAAGAAACGGTCCCCGCGTTCCTCCTTCTCCTCGTCCTCCTCCTCCTCCTCCTCCTCCTCCTCGCCCTCCTCCCTCCAGGGTTCGCATGCCTCCCCACCACCCATTTCGGCACACCCCTCACACGTTTCGTGGCCCCATAGGGAGCTCCACCGAAGGTTCCAATGGCTGCGTTCGCATGCCTCCCCACCACCCATGTCGGCACACCCCTCACACGTTTCGTGGCCCCATAGGGAGCTCCACCGAAGGCCCCAGTGGCAGGGTCCGCATGCCTCCCCACCACCCATTTCGGCACATCGTTTCGCACGCTTCGTGGCCCCATAGGGCGCTCCACCGAAGGCCCAGTGGGCTGCGTTCGCATAATGCCTCCCCACCAACAATTTCGGCACACCCATCACACGCTTGTGGCCCCATAGGGAGCCCACGAAGCCCCCAGTGGCTCGTTTCGCATGCTTCCCCACCACCCATTTCGGCACACCCCTCATACGCTCGTGGCCCCATAGGGCGCCTCCACCGAAGGCCCCAGTGCAGGGGTCCGCATGCCGTCCCCACCACCCATTTCGCCACACCGTTTCAACGTCGGGGCTCCATAGGGCAACTCCACCGAAGTACCCGTGGCACCGAAAGTACCCGTGGCTGCGTTCGCTGCCTCCCCACCACCAATTTCGGCACACCCCTCACACGTTTCGTGGCCCCATAGGGAGCTTCACCGAAGGCCCCAGTGGCTGCGCCCGCATGCGGTTCCACCCCCCATTCTGGCACACCCCTCACACGTTTCGTGGCCCCATAAAGAGCTCCACCGAAGGCCCCAGTGGCTGCGCCCGCATGCGGTTCCACCCCCCATTCTGGCACACCCCTCACACGGTTCGTGGCCCCATAGGGAGCTCCACCGAAGGCCCCAGTGGCTGCGTTCGCATGCCTCCCCACCACCCATGTCGGCACACCCCTCACACGTTTCATGGCCCCATAGGGAACCCCACCGAAGGCCCCAGTCGCTGCGTTCGCATGCTTCCCCACCGCCCATTTCGGCACACCCCTCACACGTTTCGTGGCCCCATAGGGAGCTCCACCGAAGGCCCCAGTGGCAGGGTTCGCATGCCTCCCCACCACCCATTCGGCACACCCCTCACACGTTTCGTGGCCCCATAGGGAGCTCCACCGAAGGCCCCAGTGGCAGGGTTCGCATGCCTCCCCACCACCCATTTCGGCACACCCCTCACACGTTTCGTGGCCCCATAGGGAGCTGGCCCCATAGTGGTGGTGGCCCCATAGGGAGCTCCACCGAAGGCCCCAGTGGCTCCCCACCACCCATTTCGGCACACCCCTCACACGTTTCGTGGCCCCATAGGGAGCTCCACCGAAGGCCCCAGTGGCTGCGTTCGCATGCCCCCCCACCACCCATTTCGGCACACCCCTCACACGTTTCGTGGCCCCATAGGGAACTCCACCGAAGGCCCCAGTGGCAGGGTCCGCATGCCTCCCCACCACCCGTTTCGGCACACCCTTCACACGTTTCGTGTCCCCATAAGGAGCTCCACCGAAAGCCCCAGTGGCGCGGTGCCTATGAGAAGAGGGGCTTAGTTTGCGTGCCCCCTCCTTCGTCTCATATCCGCGCGGTACTCGCAGCTGCATATGGTTGGGTCCTTCGCCAGGCTAATTTGAGCAAGATGAATCATGTTTGCCGCTTGGGGTCCTCTTGGGGGCATCCTGGACCGTTTGGGGGTTTCCATCGAAACTCTACAGCTGCTCAGCGTGGGCCACCTTGACCCGCATATTTTCTAACACGAGAACGGGGGGGAAGGCGCATTTTGGCCCTGGGCCCGCCTCGATCCTTCCCTTCCCCGGTGACCCCCCCTCGCCCACCCCGGCGATTGAAAAAGATGTGTCGGAAGGGCATTCCTTCGACTTGAGATCGACCTGGCTGGATCCATTTCGGCTTGGCGAGCTTCGAGTGCCAAAGGTGGCCGCCACGAAGGGATGCACACTTTCGACCCAGAGAGCGTCTGCCAGGACCACCCGGGGACGACTGGCCTATATATATATATATATATATATATATATATATATACACACATTTGTGTGTATATATATATATATGTATACATATATAATCATCCACGCAGACTTATGTGTGTACATATGTATAACACGTCGAAAGGGCCAGCGGATTTAGCAGCGCAGAGTGCCGTCCTCTCGTTTTTGCCGTTTTGGTTGTTTTCTTGGGGGGGAGGAGGATGAGGAGGAGGAGGAGGAGGAGGAGGAGGAGGAGGAGGAGGAGGAGGAGGAGGAGGAGGGAGGAGGAGGGGGAGGAGGAGGAGGAGGAGGGGGAGGAGGAGGAGGAGGAGGAGGAGGAGGAGGAAGGGAGGAGGAGGAGGAGGAGGAGGAGGGTTTGCTTTTTTGGGCTTGTTCTTTTTGGTTGGGGTGGGAGCCCCCTCGTCGCCAACGCCCGTCTCGCCTCGGAGTCTCGGGCAGAGCGCGTCCCCGGAAAAACGTCGGGGGAGTCGCCGTGCGCGCTGGTGTTTCCGCTCTTCCCCAGGCAGTCTGCCGCCGGTTCGCCGCGCGCCGGGGCCGCTGCAGCTGCAGCGATCGCAACATTTGGAGGACCATAAGGCCCAGAGTTCCCTCGCCAGGCACAGGCCTGCGCCCTCCAGGGCGCAGCTCCTGTCGGCATCAGCGAGATTGGGACGGGAAAAGGGGGACGACGACCGAGAGCAGTTCCTGCCCATTCGGGGCAGGACTCGCTGTCGGTGCCGCCGCGCACATTGCCCATGTGAGGCAAGCGTTGCCTTCCCAGAAGCGGGCGGTGTCGGCTTTGGAATCAATTCGGAGTGCTGTTGGGCAATGTCAGGCTTTCTACTTCTGTGTCCCAGGACCGTGACACAAATCTTGGTGGAAATCCTGTTTTTGCACGGGTTCGACAGATCCGCATTGAGCAGGCAAAGGCATCGGAGCTCTGGGCAAAGTACCATGTAGACAGTAAGCATCATGTTGTAATTACCAGGAGGTTGGATCAATCATCGGCCCCCGTCTATCCTTGGTGTTTGGTGTAAGTCTTGCTCTGTGTGGCTGGATCTGGCGCAGACCTGCCTAGTGAGTGCAGCACTCTGGCTCGAGTTTTCGGAACGTCTTTTTGGGGCCATCTCGGGGGACCTCGGGGCTCTCCTGAGCTTGCTTGGAGGCTCATCGTATCCGGTGATGGAGACCGTGGATTGCAACAGAGAGGGTTCTTGATTACAGCATCCCAGTCTGAGAACGGACAAACGCTTCTCGGGAGCCTGTCGGGACGCTTTTGGGTGGGTGCTCTTCGGGGCATCCGGGGCATCTGCAGGTGTCTCTTGGATGACCTGCGGCTTGTCTCGAGGCCTCGGGAGCCCACCAGAAGCGAAAGGGCGACACACCACGAGCTATTCAAACACCGTGTTGCTTCCAGTACGTTGGCCTTCTCGTTGGCATCCCTGGAAGTATCCGCCTGGAGCTTCCCTGGGGGCCGTCTGACAATGTCTTGGAGTCATGTCGGAGGCAGTCTTGGCCTAACTTGGCCTGTCTTGTGCCGTCCGGGAGGCCATCTTGGCCTGCCCGTGGCCGGCACCTGCAATTGTGGGAGTCTCTGGGGACCAGAAGGGACGTTGTCGTGCTCAGGCCGGACCTCCCTCCCAAAGCTGCATTCTGGACGCCGGGGCGTTGGGTGACGGCCAGTGGGCCAAGAGTTGGGTGACAGCCGGGGGACCAAGGGGTGGGGGGCGGCCAATCATCCCACACGCCTTCTCACCCCTGGCAAGCTTGGACCGGTGTCTCTTTTCGGACCCTTGTTTTTTCCTGCCCCAGTTATGTCTTTGTTCCTCGTTGTTTGTCTTTTTGTTTTTCCTGTCCCAGCTATTCATTAACCCTTTGCTATTCATTAACCCTTTGTTCCTTGTTGTTCGTCCTGGTCGTTTTTTCCTGTCCCAGCCATTCATTAACCTTTGCTCGTCCGTCTTCGCACGCCTGCGGCCCACCTCTCCAATCTGCGCAGGCCCGTTTTTTTCGTCGCACCCTCGGGCGACGCCTCTGGCGCCGCCCCCCACCGTGCGCGCACCGCGCGCGGGCGCGGTGTGCCCGGGCCCTCCCCCCGATGGGAGTCTGAGCAGGAGTCTGAGTCTGGCCCTCCCCCCCGGGTTTGGGTGTCCTCGCCGCATCAGCGATATATCGGCGATGCGGCTCGATGCGGAGCGCGATTGTCCCACGCCTGCCACGCCTGTGCAGTTCCGATGCACCGGCGAGGCGGCGCGATCCTCCGAGCACACTTCTTCGGACCCCGTTCGGGAGGCCTCGTTGGATGTGGGGTGTGCGTGCAGTCGAACCGAGGTATGAAATCGAGGTCGGTTCGGGGAGGGTACCCTTATGCTCTTCGTATTTGTTGGATGTTCTTGTGCATCCTTGGGGAGGGTACCCTCGAGTGTTTTTCAGGTTGGCTGGCGGAGGGTCTTATCTCCTTGAAGGATGTGTGATGTTTTGCTGTCCTATGTCCCGCTGTAGTGGGTCCGGCGCCAGCGGAGAGCTCAACCGCGGTCGTCTGAAGCGTGTTCGGTCGAGTGGCTATCTGGTCCTCCCTCGTACAAACAGTCCTCCGGCGCCCTCCGTGGCCAACGGTTCCACATCACTTTTCGAGCGGCCTTCGGCGCCTGCACCAGTCCATAACCTGGGAAAGTCCAGGGTTCGCTGGGGACTGGCTCCCCCCCCAAGAACCACCGAAGCCTTCCCGAAGCCCTCCAGAAGCCCTCCCCGAAGGGCTCTGGGAAGCTTTCCGGAGGATCCCCGAAGGAGGATTCCCGAAGGGTTTCAGAGGGGTTGGGGCCACTTTGGGAAGCCAGTCGCTAGCGAGCCCTGGGCTTTCTAACCCTAACCGCTTACACGATTCTGGCAACACTTCGTCGTCCCGGAGCTCCGAGACCGACGCGCAGTTCCTCATCCAGGCCACGTTCGGGCCCACCCGCGGCAGCCTGGAGGAGCTGCGCCAGACGACGGTGGAGTCCTGGGTCAGGACGCGACGCGCGCGTCCCGACTCCTTCGGAGAAGAAACAGCTGCATACACGTGTGCGCTTGGACCTCCGTGCGGCTTTACCTGATCGGCGTTGTGCCCCCCCTGGCAGCGCCGCCCCTGGCGCCGCCCCTGGCGCCACTCTCGCGCGCCAGTGAGGGGGTGTCCAGTGCCGACCCAAGAAGTCTGCACGGACCTCCGGACGTGCCAGTACGCTTGTTCATGTTTCTAGCCCTCGAAAGGCGCAGGTCTCGCTCCCCGTCGGGTCCCACCGTCTCGGGCCCAGATTCCTTTCTCGGTCGGTAAACTTGGGTAAACCTGTCCAGTGGTTGCACGTTCGAAGAGGGCCAGCCTCTGTTTCCCTCGAGGAATTGAAAAGGGCGCAGACCGCTGCCCACGGTTTTTTGATTTCGTGGGCACGCGCCCACGCTTCACATTTTCACATCCATTTCCGGGCTTGTCTTGTGGTTTGATCATGGTCTTGCTCCAAGGACTCAGTTCTCGCTCCCCGCCGGGTCCCACCGCGAGTACTACCGCAAGCGGGTCAGCAGTCGGCTCACCGACGCCCCCCTCGTCGGCTCGCAGCGGTCCCGCTGCGCGGCGGGCTCCCGTTGGCACGCCTTCGCGTTCAGCGTCGCGGACGTGGGGAGGCGGGTCAACGTCACGGGCAACAGGATATCTGGTGGCCTTCGGGCCGTCCCGCCACCGCGCCTGGGCTGCGGTTCAGAGGCCGCTGGGATGCACACGAGGGTCTTTTTGGGGATTCCTCTCGGGAGGGCTCTGGAGGGCTCTGTGGGGGCCTCTGGGGGGCCTTGTGGGGGCCTCCTAATTAGGGCTTCTTGGGGGCCTCTTGGGGCGCCGTGGGTGGCGGGAAGCGGGTCAACGTCACGGGCAGCAAGATACTAGTATCTGAAGGGCCGTGTCCTATGCTTCTGGCCCGCTTCCTTCGTGGAGCCACCTTGAGACCACCTCGGTGCCGCCCCGGAGCATCCCCAGGGCAGGCAATCCAAGACGAACGGGCGAGTGGTAAGGGAGGGCATGCACATGGAGGACGAAGAAAGCAGCATCGCTGGCACACTTTGTGGGCCCTTCATAGACTATTCGTTGCGCTGCATCTCTTTTTGAACATATTTGGCGCGGCGACTGCGCCAGCGGCTCGCAGCGCAGTGGGATCTGCGCGCGCGAAGCATCTGGCATCAGCGGGCTGAGAGAGCAACGCCACCCCCCGACGGGTCGCCGCGGCGACAACCGGGCCCCGTGCGCGCGGCCCTCGCACCCTGCAACAAGCATGTGTTTTTGCGGGGGGGTCCTCTGCTGAGTGCAGAGCAGCATTTGACCCACTGTCGCAGGCCTAGAGGTTGGCACCACCACCAAGATCGGCCGTCTGCCTCCACCGAGGGAATGAGATCCCGATCTCGGTGGTGGTGGTAAGATCCTGGCTTCCAAGGTGGCCGAAGCATTGCCGCTAACACCGAAATCTAGGATCATCCTCCCTTTGTGGAGACAACCCCCTGTGTTGGTGTTGGTGCCCATTCCCAGGCCTCCAACACTGGGGCAGTTCAGAAATATTGTTGGGGCACGTGCACACGTTGCAGCCTTTGGCCGCCCGCCGGTCATTGCGCATTAAAATTGTGTGAGCGGGAGGCTGCCTCGCGCGCGATGTTCGCGGCGCAGCTCAGTGGTCACGTTAGGAGCTTTCGCCGCAAGCACGGGGGAGCCGCCTTCTGAAGCGGAGCGTTCAATCCGATCAACGTACCATGCACAGGCGATTGCACACATGCATTAAGGGGGCGTGGATTAGCGACGGGTCCCGTTTCCATAGGAAATCGCGGATTTCAGCCGCCGAGCGAGGCGGCACCGGCCGTATTTTGGGGAGGGCACCTCCCCCGAGACATGGATTAGGCGACCGCGCGCCAAATCCATGGATCGCTAGTCCATGTTTGCGCGCCCCTGAAATGTACGGGAAGAGCGTTCGCCTCGATTCGCTTCGTCTTGCGGGCGTTACCCCCCCGTTGCGTCCCTCCAGTAACACGCACCTCAGAACAAAAACAGCGCCACAAGCATACACCCGGTCTGCGCGGGCTACCTGGACGGGCACTGGACACCCCTCCCTGGCGCGCGGATCGAGCCGGAGGCGCCGCAAGGGGCGCCCAGCTCCGATCCGTGTATACGTTTTTCCCTGATGTATACACCAGTATCCCGTATACACCAGAACCTGCGTTCTTGTGCGAATTTCAGCGCAGGATCGGGAAAAGCGTCGGTGTATAGAGTTCGTTTCCCTACTAGGGGGGAAGCTGTGAAAGAGAGGGCTGGACTGCCCATAGGCGCCGTGCTTGACAGCTCTTCCAGGCGGGAGGGCAGCAGGAGGCACGAGGCACGGCGCGGGGAGGGCCGGCGGCAGGGCACCTCCGCGAGGCGGCAGCCCCGCGGGCCGCTCCGCGGCCAGGCGCCCCGCCCAGAAGCTCCAAAAGCCCTGTCCTCCTCCCCCTCCTCCTCCTCCTCCTCCTCGTCCCCCTCCTCCTCCTCCTCCTCCTCCTCCCCCTCCTCCTCCTCCTGCGTTTCTGCGTTTCTCGCTATGCAGCGTCTTGTCGCGCGCCCCGCGGGCGCGGAGCGCTCTGCAGCGGCCCACCAGGGCCGTGCGGGCGCTCAGACTGCGGCCCCGGGAACCCGGCCCCGAGGGAAAGGGGAGCCTGGGACCAATAAATCAAAGAGAAGGGAGAGAGGGGCCGGGTTTCAGTAAAACAAAAAGATGAGGGCCCATCTGGGCCCTCGGCAGGCGCCGCGCGCGCCCGTGCCAGCTCAGCCAGCTCGGCCCGCAGCCAGGCCTCGGCCTCTTTGTGGGCGGTCGGCCTGTTGTGTGGCGGCTGGGCTCCCTTCGGCGCCTCGCGCTGAGCCCAGCCGCCAGGTCATCAGGTGGCTGGCCGCCTTCTCTGCGGCGGCCTCCACCCTTCGGCGCTCAGCGCTGTGGAAGCCCGCCGAGCCTCTGACTTCAGCGGCTCTGCAGCGCTGTCCTGGCCTCGGCCTCTTTGTGGGCGGTCGGCCTCTTGTGCGGCGGCTGGGCTCCCTTCGGCGCCTCGCGCTGAGCCCAGCCGCCACGTCATCAGGTGGATGGCTTCCTTCTCTGCGGCGGCCTCCACCCTTCGGCGCTCAGCGCTGTGGAGTCCGCCGAGCCTCTGACTTCAGCGGCTCTGCAGCACTCTCCTCGCCTAGCGGTCGGTCTCATGTACGGCGGCTGGGCTCCCTTCGGCGCCTCGCGCTGAGCCCAGCCGCCAGGTCATCAGGTGGATGGTCGCCTTCTCTGCGGCGGCCTCCACCCTTCGGCGCTCAGCGCTGTGGAGGCCTGCCGAGCCTCTGGATTCAGCGGCTCTGCAGCACTCTCCTCGCCTGCCACGCGAGGGCCGTAGGTCATGCCCCCCTGCTTTTGAGCTGCAGGAGGGTACTGATCTCGGATGTTATAGATGTCGTTGTATGGGGCTGCGTGCAGATGTGGAGCGAGTTGGCGAGGTCGTTGGGGATCGGGCTGTTGCTGGTGTTGTGTTGGTGGTGGGCTCCCAAGGCCTCCATGCACCGACTTCAAGTGGGGGTCGTTACTGTCCCACCTCGTCCCGCTATGGCTAGGGGTCACGGTGCCCTCGGTGGGGGCGAACCCCAGGCCTGGTACTTGTCGTCGGAGTGGTGTGTCTCGGCTGTCCAGCTTCGCCCTCGGGCGATCGGGTAGCTCCTCCTTCTCCATGGGAATGGTGGGGGTGGCGAGCTAGGGCGGACCGCGGGGGCGCGGGTAGTGGCCGTCCTACCCCCCCCCTGCCCCTCACCATCCCCGCTGGCGGGCGCGGGAAGTACTCGTCCTTCCCCCCCAGCCCTTCGAGCCCGTCTCGAAGTTTGATCCTCACCAGGACAGCGTTGACTTGAAGGGAGTTGTAGGGGATCGTGTTGGGTATGCTGTCGATGTCGGTCGGTGATACGCTGACGGCCAATGGGCCGCCCGCTGCCAGCCAGCTGGCGCCATCCATACTGTAGATCCCCAGGAGCCGCCGCAGTACACATCAAAACGTGGCGACTTGTGCCTGGGGTGTTCCCTCGCATTCGGGGCTTCCCCAGGACTTGCGTTCTAACGATAACCAAGGTTGGCGCCGCTGCCTGAGGTCTTCCCACGCATTCGGGGCTTCCTCAGGACTTAGGCAGCACGCCGTAATGCCTGCCCAGGGCCAGATGATCATAGTAAACAATGCCAATGTTAGGAAAGTCGATAAATCCAGCAAGTGCTCGAGGGGGGGGCACGCTCCGTCGCCATTGAGGGATCGTGCCCACCCGTATGGGCGCTACGGGTCCCCCCCCCTCGAGATGGCGCGCAATCGTTGTCCAGGTCGCATCCGTACCAGTAACCCGTTAGCAACAGGGTTTGGGCCATGCCGTAGGTGCGCTGAGACTTCTGCAGCCAATCTGAAATACTCTGTATAAAATAGTAATGCCAGCTGCCATCGGATCTGTAGCCAGCCGGTGGTCTGCGCCAAATTGCAGACCAGTGTTCCCTTGCGGGGCAAAAGTATATAATACTGGACGCTTGACTCGCCTGGCTGCACCAAATAAGCCGCCGCGGTGCCAATTGCTAGCGCCGATGTTTGCCCCATGCCCTGTGACAATCATGGCCGATCTGGTCTGTCTCCATGTAGTAATCCAAGGGGGCGTAGAACCTGTGGTAGCAGTCGTCCGTTTCGGCCCACATTGCCTCTGCGTCAGCAAGCTGCCCCCAGTGGGCTGCGAAGGCGGTAGCCATTGCCTTACACAGCCTTGATGGATACTCTTTGAGGGGGGCGGTCCTCCAGCCGCCTTGGCCGTCTCGTCCGTAAACTCCGGCATGTCCCGCATGTCGGCATAGCTGTCCCCCAGGTACCGCCCTTAGCTCCTGTGCGAGTTCACCGAGGTGTGCCGCCATCAGACATGTTGGTTTTCTCGCGTCCTGCCCGAACTGGCACTGGTCTATGTAGTGCAGTTCGACGCCCGTCTGCTCCAGGAGCCAGAGCGTCTCTGCTCGCTGCCAGCTGCTGGGCGCTTGGGGGCACCATGTGGCTGGGGCGGGATGCTCGAGTACGGCTGAGACGTTGTACTGCAGGCCCGTGGTGATGAGTAGTAAAGCTGTCCTGTATAGCTCGTTGGCTAGTGCGATCTGTTGATGCTCCACTTGGCTAGCTGCTTGTATGCCCCAGGGGGCTTCATGTGTACGTAGTGGTCGAGGTGCCTTCCCCTCGGCGGCATGCCAGCGCGATGAGCACCACGTCTCGCAGGGCGGGCCTGCCACAATACCAAATATTTTGCCCTGTCGTATCGCTGCGCACCAAAAGTCGACGACGTCTGGCTTCGTCAGGTCTCCTTTGACGGGGTCTATCTGCACGTCGATCGATAGTACTACCAAGTTGCATTCCCGTATGTTCATCTCGAAGTGGTACTGGAAATCCTCGATTCGACGTCTGCCCGAGAAAAGGTGCAGCAAGAACATAGCCGTGGTAACCATGGGCCTGCACGGTGAGAATACGATTGCAGGTGGTGTCGCTGTTTGGACGTCCGCTGCCGCAGGCGGGGCCGGCGAGAGTTGGAGCTGGTGCTGCTCTATGTAGTCGGCCAGCTTGAGCTGTATGACCTGTTGGGCGGGCACCAGCGCCTTTGTAGCTCCATGCCCCATTGCCTTCCTCGCCGCCACAGCTTCTCGTTCTTCTTTTCGGCGTTCGGCTGCCTCCTGCAAATCCATTGGGACCTCGATGGCTTGGAGGACCGCCAGGCACTTGGGGCACCTTCTCAGGTGCTTGAGTATGCGGGATCTCGTTATGAAGTTCTTCCCGCACCCAGGGCAGGTAGTCGAACGGGCAAGCAATTCGGGAAGGTCGTAGCCGATGTGTTCCATGGTGCGATGGCGCTTCCATGCTCCCCGAGTTTTTAATATCTTGCCACACTCATAGCATATGTAGCCACAGTGCTGTGCGGGCGGCAGCCCCTCGAAGTTGGGCGTGGTCATTCCAAACTCTTGCGCAAGACGGTGTAGCTGCCTTTGCCAAATTCGATGTCGATATATGTCGTGCTGCCATGCTTTGTACCTGAGCCACGCACGGGTGATCGTGGCTTGTGCGGCTCGCACTTGCTGTGTGCGTAGCCATCGCAGCAATCCCCTGATGTCGCTGCCGATGTCCTCGTCGTCTAGTAGGAAACTTCTTATCCAGTCCAGATCTTCGACGATAAGAGCGTTCCAGGCCTTCTCATCCTCCCAGAGTTCGTCGATGAGGCGGTGGAGGAAGGGCGTGTCTGCATGCGCCATCCTGGCCAGGTACATCAGGCGCCGTCGGCGCAGGTACATGTGGATCGGTACTTCGTCGCACAGCAAGTATATTTCGTCATCCAAGGTATGTACATGTCCCGCGCTGTGTCGCTGTTGTCTTGCGGCGGCCCGCAGACTCGCCATGTGTCTGCTCTGCAGCATCTGCTTCTGCTGTACTGTAAGTGGCCCCCACACTTCGCAGTCGTAGGTCAGCTTGCTTTGCGCCAGCGCAGTGAGGTACAGCAGCTTGGCCTTGAGGTCGATGTGCGGTAGGCGGAAGATGGACTTCTTCAAGGGGCCCTCTGCGGATCTGTGGTCTATGATGCGTCTCATAAGGTTCGGCCCCTCCCCACCTCCTCCTCCTCCTCCTCCTCCTCCTCCTCCTCCTCCTCCTCCTCCTCCCGAGCGTCGCGGCGAGGACTCGGAACTCCTGCGGCCGATTCTCCTGCCGACGGGGGGGCAGCGGATACGTCGACGGCGCGCACCGCAGCGACATCGACCCCGCGCTCTCCGGGAACGGCCTGCCGGCCTCCCCGGAGGGCAGCAGAGAGTTACCAGGCAGTGGCGCTGCGTAATGGAGGGGTCATAAATGGGGGGGTGTCGCGGTTGGTCCGAAATAAGGTTCCCAAACGGTACCTATACGAGCCCCCTGGGGCTCCAGAGGGGCCCGAAAGGGGCACGAAAGGGGACCGTTTCTGACCCCCCCATTTATGACCCCCCACTAAGCCACGCCCAAACCAGGCAGTGGCGCAGCGTCCTGGCTCGCCTATAGGCCCACCAGAGAATGTGCTCAGAACCTTTTGTGGTCTGCGCGACACGTTCTTCGACCAGTTCTGGCTGGGAGTGTCTTGTTTTACCACGTCGGGCTCATGTTCTAAGAACCTTGTTTTTGGTCTCAGAACTTTTTGGGTTCGAAGAACATGTCGTGGTAGGCCTATAGGAATGCCGGGACGGTCGGTCCCTGCTCAAAGTTGCCCGGGGGCCCCCAGACTGTGTGGTGACCCCGTCGTGTTGTGAGTCCGCGTCGGGCGGGGCTGATACGAGGATGAATCCGTTCCAGAGCCTTCCGGGACGCTCTCGGAGCGTCCCGGACCGCGCTCCGAGAAGGCCGCGGCGCCCGAGGCATCCTCCAGAGCCGCCGGATCTCGGAGGTTCTCGATTTACCCTCACCTGAATTTGTCTTCGTCGCGGCTTCGTCTCCCCGCGGGGCTCGGGGTCACCGCTCAGCTTTTGGGCTCGGGTCGTTCTCCGAGGGTGCCTCGGGCGACGGGTGCCTCCAGGGTCCTGGTGCCGTTTGGTGACGGACCGTCTTTTTTGTGAGATCGTTGGGGATTCTACTCCCCCTCCTCTCTCCTCCTCCCTCCTCCTCCCTCCTCCCTCCTCCTCCTCCCTCAAGTCCTTGCGGCTCCGCGACCCGAGATCGGGGAGCTGGCCGCACCGGCGCGCGCGCACCGGCGGGAGTTGTTCAAACCAGGGCTCGAACCTGACCTCGCCTCGCGACTTGAGGGGGAGCAAGGCTGCCGCGTAAGTCGCGTCGGGACTATCACAATCTACGGGCGACATTTCCGTCTGTATGGTTGGTGTCTTCGTCCACGTTTTTCCATCTTTTGGTGATTGCAGTGGCTTGTGCATCAATCAAGGTTGTGGGTGTATTTTCAGGTCTATGTAGGCTTCAGCGGCTTCAACTACAGTGCTGCAGTCTCCTACGCCGCAGCGGGAATGGAATTAAATTCTTGTTTGTTTATTGGAGGCGCCACTTACGGCCTTTCAAGTTTTCTTCAAGGCATGCTGGTGGTCAGTTCATCAATGAAACATTTCGGCCGTTGGTGGAGTCATCACTTCTGTTTGGGCGCCTCAGTGGCCTCGTCACCTACAATGCTGCACTCTCCCACAGCCGCCAAGGGAGTGTATGCCAATTCAAGTTTGTCTGGTTGGTGGCGTCCATCACGGCGTGTCGATTCTCGTGCTTGCTGGTGGTCGTTGCATCAATCGAACCACTCGGCCGTGGGTATTGTCTGCAGTTCTGTTTGAGCTCCAGGCCTCGTCAGCTACTGTATTGCAGTCCCCCACAGCCGCATGGGGAGTCTATCTCAATAGTTGTTTGTCGGCAGTGTGGTGTTTTTCTTTCAGTTCTTCAAGTGGCATGAGTTCACATGCGTTTGTTTTTCTGCGAACTGTGGTTTATAGGTGTTCCGAGGTGTGTGTGTGTGTGTGTGTGTGTGTGTGTGTGTGCGCGTTGCTGATTTTGGCATGAGCGTCAATTGGGCCGTGCTGGTCTGCATCAAGGACAGCACGCTTCCGCGGGATTTCGGCATGCCCCGTCTCGCTCCGCCACTGCAGGTTGCCAGTTCCACCCCCGCTTGCTTTCGTTGGGGAGTCTGCGACGATAGGCCTTCGTCAGGCTGCCAGAGGCGATGGTCAGGGAGCTGTTCTCCTGAGGCCACAAGGGGTCACGGCGGCATCGTCGACCGTGGACGCCCGTGCATCCTCGATCTTAGATCTTCCTCCTCTTCCTCCTCCTCCTCCTCCTCCTCCCCCTCCTCCTCCTCCTTCTCTTCCTCCTCCTCATCCTTCTCCCTCTCCTCCTCCTCCTCCTCCTCTTCCTCCTCCTTCTCCTCCTCCTCCTCCTCCTCCCACTCTTCCTCCTCTTCCTCCCCCCGCCTCCCTCCCTCCGTTCCGAGGTCACCACGGGGTCCGTCACAACACGGTTTGGGGACCCCGTGTACGTGCAACCCGCAATGACGTTTCGGTTTGAGATGGCAGGCCACGGCAGTTTCCGCTCTGGCGCAATTCGGATGTACATCGCCGAGTCGCATCCAGTAGCGGTTGACAGCGCGCGCGCCGTGCACAATAGCGTTCAGTGGTGTTTTAAAAATGCCCAGTAGCGTCGACGGCGCCCATTGGTGCCAATGAGTGCGTCACGCCCGCGCCCAATGGCGCTAATGAGGGACGCGCTGTTGGGCGCCACGTGAGCGACCAGCATTGTTTCCATCAGTTATATGCTAGCCAGTTATACACCCCATCGCCGATCCTGGCCAGGCTCATCGTTGGCCCAGGATCGGTGCATGCGCCTTCCTGCCCAAGCCAGAAGGGAGTAGGCTCATCGTTGGCCAGGTTCGGTGCAGGCGTGCAGCTTGTGCCCTGCCAGGCCCCCGACAACTGCACGGACGTCTGCTGGAACGGCTGCAACCCGGGCTGCAGCTCGATCGCGTCGTGGGCTCAGTACGCGTGCGGCTTCACCTCGTCAACCTCCTGGGTCACCAACAGGTATTCAGGGGCAGCGGCAAGGGAGGATACTTAGGCTCAGGGTGGGACGACGGGCTCGAAATTTCAGGTTTTCGGCCGTTCTCGTCGGATTTCGGCGTTTTCTTCTTCAGCCTCTGGATGCTATGCTGGACGCTTCGCGTATCCCCACCAGCCCGTCCAGAAATGAGTCCCAGGGGAGTGGAGGTGATGAGGGAAGCGGGGGAGCACGCAGCAGAACAAAGGGCGGGGTAAGCCGCCACATGCCCCAAGATGGGATGTAGGCGTCGTCGTCGTCGTCGTCGTCGTCGTCGGGGTAGGAGGAGGAAGAGGAGGAGCGGGAGGAGGAGCAGGAAGAGCAGGAGGACGAGGAGGAGGAGGAGGAGGAGGAGGAGGAGGAGGAAGGTGAGGAGGAGGAGATGGAGGAGGGCGAGGACGTGGAGGACGAGAAGGAGGAGAAGGAGAAGGATGAGGAGGAGGAGGAGGATGAGGCGGAGGAGGAGGAGAGGGAGGGGAAGGAGGGAGGAGGAAGAAAACGAGGAGGAGGAGGAGGAGAAGGAAGAGGACAATGGCGAGTTCGGGGGCCTGTTGGGCCGTCTTTGGGGCCTCTTGGCGGTCCCGGGGGCCTCTTGCGTATCTCGGGGAGCCTCTTGGGGCCTCTTGGGGGTCTCTTGGGAGCCTCTTGGAGGCCTCTTGGGCGCCTTTTGGGGCCTCTTTGGGCCCTCTTGTGGCGCTCTTGGGACGCTCTTGGGAGCCTTCGGGGCGCTCTTGGGGCCATGTTGGAGGAGATCTATCAAAGAGGGGGGGTCGTAGATTAGCCCTGCCCCTCTAGATTGCCTCGAATCGCTTCTTGGGCCCCTCGTGAGGCGATCTTGGAGCGCTCTTGGGCGCTCTTGGGGCCGTCTTGGGGCTCTCTTCGGCCTCTCTTGGGGCCCTCTTGGGCAATCTTGGAGCCATCTTGAGGCCTGAGCAGGCCATCGGAAGCGAAACCACGAGAAAGCCAAACACATTGATATTCCATTATTTTGGCATGATTTTGGCCTCTCGGGCAGCTCCGTGGGGAGCTCTTTGGCCACTTGGGGCCGTCTTGGTGCGGTCTTTAGGCCTCTTGGACCATCTTGGGATCCATCTTGAGGCATCTTGCGCTATCTTGAGCCATCTTGGAGGCTATCTTGGGCTCTCTGAGGCCCTCTTGGAGCCGTCTTGGGCCATCTTGGACGCCCCAAGGACCCGCGGAACCCTCCATCCAGGTCTAGGGGAGGGGGTAGGGGTAGGGGTAAACCCCTCCCGAAGGGGAAGAAGGGGGTTGGAAGAGGAAACTCTCTAGACCACCGACGCCAAGAGGGCTGGTGGGATTCAGCATTTGCGCCTCGCCGAGAGCGTTATGGGGGTGTCAGATCGTCCTGGACGGCCGCCAGAGGCCCGAGAGAGGGATGCATCTTCCCACAATCACCCACTCTTGGCCGATAGGGGCCCGATAGCCCAACCCCGCCCAAGAGCGTGTACTTTTGCTGCCGGGAGCCTCTCGGCGATTTATCGCCGATTCCAGCTCGATTTTCCCTCCCTGAGCTGGTCCCCCCTAGATTTGCTCCTCGCAGGTACTGCCGGCAGACCTGCTTTGATGCAGGCGCCCCGTATCCAGGAGTCAAGTAAGAGAAGAACGTCAGAAGCCTACACTTCGAACTTCGAACGTCCGTGCTGATTTCTTGGATTTGCGCTGGGGAGCGGCGGTGGCTGGTCCAAGAAGTTCGCGCGGAACTTCGAGCGTTTCTGTTTAGTGAGTTGTTGTCTTCTTCCCGAGGAGATGACGGATTCCCAGAGGACTGCTCTCCAGGCTGGGTGTCTCTCGAGTCCAGCTGCTTGCGGCAATCCCCGCCCCCGTGCCAGCGCCGCGCGGAAGTGCGTGCAGATCAGATCCGCAGATGCTTCGGAACAGGCTCGGCGAAGCCATCCTCGGGACTGCTGTGCTGCAGTGTGGCGCAGCACGGATGCATGCTCGATGCTTGGCGTTTTGAGCGGTCTCAAGGAGGCATTTCTGGGGCTGATTCGAGGCATCGGCATGCTGTGGGGCCTTGTCGAAATTTGTCACCCATCTTAAACACAACAGCCCTCCCGAGCTCCCCCGAAGGGCCCTGGCCGAACCATCATGCGGCCTTCTGCGCAGAAGTCAAGGGGCTGTCTTGGGAGGCTCCTTGTCGCTGGACTGCCTTGGGGTATTCTTCTTGACCCTCCTGAGTTGTTGGGTCCTCTCTGTTCCCTCTCCTCCGCCGCAACATTCTCCTGCGGCCTCCTTGGTGCCGATTGCCCGTTGTGTATCTTGTTCTAGGCCACCATGCGTGGAGCGACGGCCCGGACCGCTGAACAGCATGGTCGGGCCCTCGCCTCCTCTCCTCTTGCCGCCGCCGCTGCTGCGCTGTCCTGCTGCCGCTTGGCTGCGCGTTGCCGCCGCTGCTGCATGCTGCGCTGCCGTCCGTTGCTCGCCGCTCCTGCCGTTCTGTCAGCTCGTTGGTATCACTGCTGACCGTGCTGCCTGCGCGCTCCTTTCGGCACGCCGCTCGACCGTGTCGTGCCAGGCATTGGCTTTGCCCACCGTGTGTAGCCAGAGGTGTCTCTGGCCCAGGGTGCCCCCAGGATTCCCAGGGAGTCCCAGGCGGCTCCCTGAGCGGCCCTCACAAGGCCAAGAGTGCCTGATGGGGCTCCAAATCGGGCGAAGAGCTGGGGACACCTTCGGCCAGAGACGCTTTTAGCACCCCCCCCCGAACTCACGGCCTCAGCGTTGCCATTCCTACGGTGCCGCCTTGCCTTGTTCGGCACGCCGCCTCACACGGACCGCCCTCCCCCATAGGGAGCTCCATTTACCGCCCTAGTGAAGGCACGATGGCGTTTTCGGCCCATTCGGGCACACGCCTCAAACAGATCGTGCTGCTTGGGGAGTTTCACCTGCGGCCCCAGCAAGAAGTCGGCACAACCCTCACACTGACAGTGCCCCTATGGAGAGCTCCTCCTGCGGCCCTGGTAGAGGCTTCCGCATGGTGTCCCGCAGCGCGTTTCGGCGCACACTCCTCAAGCGGACAGACCGTTCAATAGGACGCACCTGCGGCCCCGTTGATGGCGTTCGCGCGGTGTTCCCTCTCCGCCCGTCTCAGCACACCCAGCGCATGGACCGTGTCCCACGGAGTGTTCCCTTTACGGCCCCAGTGGGGCCGTTTGCTTGGCGACCGCCAGCCCGTGTGGCCACAGCCCGCACACGGATCGCGCCAGTTGGGGTCTTGGTGAGCGTTCACACAGCGTACCGTTTCAATTTCGACAACTTTCTGACGGATCGTTCCACATGATGGGGTTTTATTTGTGGCCGCATAGTGCACTCCCTTGTCCACGTGGGTACACCCCTCACACGGATCGTGCGATTTTGGGGCCCTGGGAGCATTCACAAAGCGTTCGGTGTCAATTTCGACACCTATCTGACGGATCGTGCCACACGAGGGGTTCTATTTGTGGTCACACAGTGTTCCCCCTCTGTCCACGTGGGCCCACCCCTCACGCGGATCGTGCCATTTTGGGGGAGTTCCACCCATGGCCCAAGCGGGGGCGTTCACACATAGTCCCCCCGTCCATCGGAGCACCTCTCCCCGGAGCTCCCCCTGGGGCTCCCGCGGGGGCGTTCCCTCTGCGCCCCCCCGCCCGCTTCGGCACACCCCTTCCGTAAACGGATCGTGCCCCATGGGGTAGCGTTGAGCGGCCTGCCTGGGATGGTATGGATTCATATTCAGGCTGGACGATGGGGCAGAATCATCAGCACATTGCAACTCGAAAACGGAAGCGAATACATCTGGGGGGGTAAATTTAGATATCCAGCCTCAGTGGGGGCGGGGGGCGTCCACGAGGCGGCCCCCCGCACCTCTACGCCCGGATCGTGCTCCACGGGGAGCTCTGGCCCCGTCCCTCCCGCGGCGCGCAGGCGTGCGCGAGGACGGGGCGCCCCCACGGCGCCTGCAAGCAGCTGCGCAGGGCAGGGCTGGCCTCCGAGCGCCTGGGGCTTCGGGGGGGGGGAGGGGAACCCTGGAGCCTCCGAGGAGGAGGAGGAGGAGGAGAGGGAGGGGGAGGGGGAGGGGGAGGGGGAGGAGGAGGAGGAGGAGGAGGAGTCTATCCCCTCCTGATGTCTGGCACGGGCCGTCTGGACGGTCTTCGAGCTCGCCGGGAGCTCTCTTGGTGCGGGCCTGGCCCGTCTTCGGGGGTGGGGTCGGGGGGCAGGGTCCACGTGTCGGGGATGCGGATGTGGAACCACGAAACAGAATCCCCACCAGCTCAAAGGAGCGACGGAAGAAACGGAGTCGACTGCGCGGACACTCGTGCGCAATCTGCCCGCGTAAAGTCGCGCGTAAGCGTCCTTTCCACTCGGTTTGCCACGCTGGCGGCCCGCGCAAGTCGCGGCGTGAGGTTGCTGTCCGTTCTCGCGTGCGATCCGGTTGTTTCCGTCGCTCAACTGGCTTTCCAGACACGCCCTGGCTTGCCGAGGGCACGGCAGCGGATATGATGGCGTTCTGTGCCACGCCGAGGAGAAGCTTGGCGGCCTCCTGTATCCAGCTGCCTGCGGCAGATCCGCCGCGGTGGCAGCGAAACGCCCTATCCCTATGTGGCGTCCCTTTGGCCACCGCCCAGAGGGCCGTCGCATGTGACACCTCGCCGCCGTCGTGTGTGTGTGTGTGTGAAGCTACGGGATCCGCAACGGACATCTCGTGAAGTTAGTCGGGGTGCCGTCCACGGAGGATCTGTCCACAGACCATCCTGCTCCTGTGGATACCACATCTGCCCTCCACGTTGCCGCTCTCGTCTTCTATGCACGCCTTCCGGGAGTGTCCATTTCTTGTGTCGCAGGAGGAACATCTACCGATGCCGCTACTCCCCGGGCATCCCCTCAGGGCGCGTCCTGACCAGAACTTCAAGGATCATCCAGACGTGGAGACGATGGGCTCAGCTCACTCGGGCCGTCTTGGGAGAGCCTCGGGCGCCCGTTCCGCTGCCTCGGTGCCTTCCTTGGGCTGGCTCGGGCCCATACGGGCGCCCCATTGCGCCGGTTGGGGGCCCTCTGGGCCGTCCATAGCTCCCTCGTGGGGCTCCGGGTGGGCCCCTTTTGCTTCGGAGAGCCGCGCGGGGAGCGATGGCAGACCGAGGAGCGCTGGAAGATCCAGGCCTCCCTGGCCCCTCGAGGGCCGCGGCCCCTCTCTCGGGTATGGCCAGGACCCCGGGGTAAGGGGACCCGGTTAGTGGTAGGGCCCCGGGGCCGCTCAATTGGCCTCTCAAGTGGCCTCTCAATTGCCGTACCTGGAAGATCAAGGTCTCTGGCCCCTCGAGGGCCGCATCCCCTCTCTCGGGTGTGGCCAGGACCCCGGGTAGGGGGACCCCGGTTCGTGGTAGGGCCCTGGGGCCTCTCAATTTGCCAGATTCACTGAACCAGGTTTGCCGTGACTGGTGTTTGTCGGGTGACGGTAGTTCCGGTGAGTCGAAATGGGACGGGGGGGCGCCCCCCAGTATTAATCATTTAACCAGGTCCCAGTAAACCCAGTTGTGCAAACGCCCGACTCCCCCAGATGCCAGGCAGCGCTCGGCATGCTGCCCGCGCCCCCGGCGTGCCGGGGGGGAGGGGGCACGGCGGCGGACTTTGCAGCCACGGCGCAGCTCTGCGAGGAGCAGTACAGTGGACTGTGGCTGAAGGATTCGGTCGGGCCTGTCCCTCTACAGGGAGAATATTCAAAAACAGTCAAAGCAAATAGTCAGGGGACCAAGAGTATGTTTGAGCATGTTTGGTGCATTTTCTTACTATTCTCTGCATGCTTCATCCAAAATCCCCCTGTAGGGGGACAGGCCCGACCTAGCTGCAGGACCACGGCGTCGTGGACGTCTACCTGAACCCCAACATCTGGTTCTCCAACCCTCCGGGCGACGACGACGCGTCGCTGACGTTCCAGGAGCCGGAGACGAGCACACTGCAGCCGCTCGGCACTGCCCAACAGCACCGCAAACGACACGTGCGTCGGCCACGCAGGGGCGACGCGCACGCCCGTGCTGGCCTCGCCTCCCTGGCCATCCTGCCCCGTAAGCGATATGCTCCAGCACGTTGCGCCAGATGCTCGGGGCGGACGTGCGTCCCCAACCGGGGCACACAGCACCCGCCTGTCCTCGTGCGTCCCGCAGACTCAGGAGCCCTCGGAGCTCCGCGCGGACTTCTCGGATCGGCGCCGGGAGTTCCCTCCCCGGCGCGCGGGGCGCGCCTGGGAGGGCCGGGCGCAGGTCCGAGAGAGCCCGTGCGGAGCTCCGGACGTTTATAATTTTGATGCCGTGTGTGCGCCTCTCAGGAGGTCCGGACCGGTGTCGTCGCGCTCGCGCAGAGCTACGGCAGCGAGCCCTGCGGCCTGGGTCGCTTCGTCTACCACGGCAACCAGTCCTACGTCGCCGACGCCAGGCTCGAAAGAAGCATCATGTCCGCGTCATCCTAAAGTGCTTCAAGCTCCGCGCAGATGTCTTGGATCTGCGTTTGGGCCCGAGCGTTTGTTTCCTCTCTAGGGTAACGCTCGTTAACCGGACCTACCTTTCCCCCCTGGGTAACGTTGACGATCGTATTGGG